TCTTGCTTCCACAATTATTCCTCTATATATCGACTATGTCTAAGGCTATGATGATCTCTAATATCTATGGTAATGCTTCTTAGAGTCATTGAGATTTTACGTTTCCATATCGTATTAAAGGTTCATAATCTTGATAAAACATTAATCTTTGGTAATACTCCTTGCTGGTTCACGTTGATTGTTCTATTGAGTTATAAGAAATGATTTTTATTTGCATATGGTTGCTCATAATATTCTGCTCGTGCATAGAGTCATTTATCATTTCACCGAGTCCCGGGCCGGGTAATGTTCGTGCGGAGTTTCTTGCATATGTCACCGAGTTCCTCACTAGAGGGCCGGGTATGTATATTATATATATGATTGGTGATGAGGATGGTTATGATGATGATGATGACGGAGATGACGTGATGATTATTTTGCCGATCCCCTTACTAGGGAAGCTGGGCACCTTAAATGTTAAATATATGCATGATTTTCACTTAAAAAGTATATGTGTAGCGATATTTTGTTTCGAGTTGCCACATTGGTATCCTGTCATCTTTACCTTATGCTTTACATACTCAGTACATTGTCCGTACTGACCCCCCTTTCCTCGGGGGGCTGCGTTTCATGCCCGCAGGTGTAGACGCGCAGTTCGGTGATCCTCCCGCCTAGGATATCTACTTTGCTGATTGGGAGAGCTCCACTGTTCCGGAGCCCAGTCGTTTTGGTACATAACTTTTGTGTAGTCTTTTGCTCGTCTATGGGTATGGCGGGGCCCTGTCCCGTCGAGTTTTACTAATGTACTCTTAGAGGTCTGTGGACATTATGTGGGTTGTATATATATGTTTTGGATAATGGTCTGGACATGGTTTGTTTGGGATGTCCGTTTGTACAGGGGCAGCCTTGTCGGCTGCGTACATCATTATGCTTTGAATAGTGGCGGCCTTGTCGGCTCGCGTATGCTGTTATGATTGAACGGTTATGACTCCTTATGAGACAGGTCCTCTTATATATATATGACGTTGGGGTTGGCTTGATTTGATTAAATTCCATATTGTCTTAGTTTCAATTGGTCATACTTAGCAGGTTTGTATGTGGGTGTCCAAAACGGGCACTAATCACGGCCTATCGGGTTGGGTCGTGACACATGACTACAGATATAAGAGAACAAAATAGAGAAAAAATAATAAATAGACAACTTATGACAAAATTAGCTACATGTAAAATGTGTTACTTAAAAGAATATACTTGCGCATTTAAAGAATATTATTACAAAGCTAAATACAATTTAGACGAAGCAAAAGAAATAAGAAAACAATATTATACAAAATTACCAGAACCATTTAGTACAAACGTAATAAAGGATTGGAATAATGAAGGAATGATAGATACTTTAGGATCTAGAATAAAATTTTTAAATCAATGGTTCATACAACTATGTGAAAACCAAAAAGAAAAATTAAAAATGGAAAAAGTATTAAATAAAAATTTATCATGTTGCAAAAATAAAATGGCACCACAATTTGGATGCACAACTAAAAAACAAAAATCTAAAAGATATAAAAATTATAGAAAAAACAAAACTATATATAAATATAAACAACCAAGACGAAGGTATTATGTAAAAAATCATAAAATAAAAAGACCATACAGACCAAAAAGAAAAATATCCCAATGTACTTGTTATAATTGTGGAAAGATAGGAAACATAGCTAAAGATTGCAATTTACCCAAAAATCCAAAAAGAAAACAAATAGCAGAATTAATTATAAACAATGAAAAATATATGCAAATAGAGTACATAGATTATGAATTAAGTGAAAATGATAGTATATATGAAGTATCAGACATGGAAACTGAGAATGAAGAAGAAAATATTAACATAGATAATAACGAAACAGATGAAGAAATATAATGTCTGAAAATGAAATAAAAATAATATCTAAGGAAGAATATCAAGATGAAGAATCATCAGAACAGAAAATTATATTTGATAATATGATATTTGAACAAATAAAAGGAAAAGAATTAAATTTAAGTGTTGAAAAAGTACTAGAAATACCTATTTTAAGAAATTGGTTTAAAAGACAAAAAGAAGAATACTATGTAGTTAGTCAAAAAGAACATATCATAGATTGTAAATACACAAGAGGAAAAGCATATATACCTATAATAAATAAAAGAATGATAAACAAAGAAATACAAGATATAAAAGCTAAAACACCAATAAAATATGTACATTTAGGAGGAACAGAAATATTAATAAAAGCCTGCTTTAGAGAAGGAATAGATACACCTATAGAAATATATTTGGCAGATGATAGAATTGTACACCCTATAGAAAAAAGCATAATTAGTGCAGTAAAAGGAAACTTAATATATCAAAAATTTAAGTTTACAATAAGTGCTAATTATACAGTATCATTAACAGATAAAAATATAGATAGATCATTAGTTCTATATTGGAAAATGTCTGGATTAGAACTAGCACCAGGGAGCAAATTATTTACAGCAAGATGTAAAAATTTATATATATTAACAACAAAGCATAAAATAACAGCAAGAAATAAAATTAATAAAATAAAAATAGAAAATCCTTTTGAAAAAATAATTACTGTAATAGACAATAATGACTATAGCTATAAAGAAATTGATATAGAAGAAGATTTAGAAATAGTAAAAGAAAGATTAAGCACTTCAAGCGTACCAAATACATTGACAAGAGATACCTCATCAAGGATGAGTACATCTAAAAGAAAATATGAAATTCCACAAAGCCTATTAGATAAAGAAGAAATAACACCATATCATTATTTCATAACAGGGATAATAGACCAAAGAAAATATAAAATATTAATAAATACAGGACAAGAAGAAAATTATATAACAAGAGAGTTAGTATTAGAAGAAGAAATTATAAGAACAGGACATACATGCCCTGGACTACCTAGTGAGATAGTGAACACGAATGAAGAAACAACAGAAAAAGAAATAATTATAGGAGGAATACCCTTAGTAATACAATTTAAAATATACCAAGGAAATCATAATATTACATTAGGAATAAAATGGTTAGAAAAAGTCAAACCATACAATATAGAAAATGAACAATTAACAATAACTTGTCAAAATAAGAAAATAATTATAAAAAGGACAAAATGATTAATGAAAATATTTATACTTGCAAAAATTATAGTAGAAGGATATCACAACAGATATTATACCCCTATGATAGATACAGGAGCAGAAGCGAATATATGTAAATATAATTGCTTACCAGAAGATAAATGGGAAAAATTAAAAACACCTATAGTAGTAACGGGATTTAACAATGAAGGAAGTATGATTAAATACAAAGCAAAAAATATAAAAATACAAATATGGGATAAAATACTAACAATAGAAGAAATGTATAATTTTGAATTTACTACAAAAGATATGTTATTAGGAATGCCATTTCTAGATAGATATTATCCACACATAATAACAAAAACACATTGGTGGCTTACTACACCATGCGGAAATAAGATAGGAGCAAACAGAGTAAATAATAAACAACGAAAACCTATGGAATGGATAAAAGGAAGTGAAAAGATAAACCAAGAAATGAAAAATATAAATAATAAGCAAATAACGCAATTAGAAATTATTATATTTGCTATAGACAAAGTCAAATTAATTAACGAACAACTAGAACACTTATATAGTGAAGATCCATTACAAGGATGGGAAAAACATAAGACAAATGTAAAAATTGAATTAATAGATGAAAATAGTATAATAACACAGAAACCATTAAAATATAACTTTGATGATCTAGAAGAATTTAAAATACATATAAATGAATTGTTAGAAAATAATTACATACAAAAAAGCAATAGTAAACATACAAGTCCAACATTTATAGTAATAAAACACAGTGAACAAAAAAGAGATAAAAGTAGAATGGTCATAGATTATCGTAATCTAAATGGTAAAACTAAAACATACAATTATCCGATACCAAACAAAATACTAAAAATAAGACAAATACAAGGATATAATTATTTTAGCAAATTTGACTGCAAATCAGGATTTTACCACCTAAAACTAGAAGAAGAATCCAAACAATTAACAGCATTCACAGTACCGCAAGATTTCTATGAATGGAATGTTTTACCTTTTGGATATAAAAATGCACCAGGTAGATTCCAACATTTTATTGATAACTGTTTTAACCAACTAGAAAACTGTATTGTATATATAGATGACATATTGTTATATTCTAGAACACAAGATGAACATATAAGATTGTTGGAAAAATTTATACATATAGTAAAAAATACAGGTATAAGTTTGAGTAAAAGAAAAGCAGAAATTATGAAATCACAAATAGAATTTATAGGAATACAAATAGATAAAAATGGAATAAAAATGCAAACTCATATAGTACAAAAAATAATTAATATTGATGAAAATATAGATACAAAAAAGAAATTACAATCCTTTCTAGGATTAGTAAACCAGGTAAGAGAATATATACCAAAATTAGCAGAACATTTAAAACCATTACATAAAAAACTTAAAAAAGATGTAGAATATCATTTTGATAATAAAAGATAAAAAACATATAAAAATTATTAAGAATCTATGTAAAAAATTACCAAAACTATATTTTCCTGATGAAAATAAAACATTTACTTACATTGTTGAAACAGATTCGAGTGATCATAGTTAGAGGAGTTTTAAAATACAAATATGAAAAAGAAAAAATAGAACACCATTGTAGATATTATTCAGGATCTTATACAGAAGCACAAATAAAATGGGAAATAAATAGAAAAGAATTATTCGCATTATATAAATGTTTATTAGCATTTGAACCATATATTGTTTACAATAAATTTATTATAAGAACAGATAACACACAGGTAAAATGGTGGATAACAAAAAAATTAGAAGATTCAGTTACAACAAAAGAAATAAGGAGATTAGTATTGAATATATTAAATTTTACATTTACAATTGAAGTAATTAAGACTGACAAGAACCTTGTTGCAGACTACCTATCAAGAAAAAGGAACTCAAACTGAACAAGATACAATAGAAGAAATACTCAAAGCAATTACTACACTTTCTACGAAAGTGGACAGTATGGGAAAAGAGTTACAAAATCTGAAAGCTAACAGTCAGCAGCATGACTCTAAAAATGCGGAGCTACGTCGTTCGGCGGACGGTAAAAAGCCAGAACTAGAAGGAGACGTTGGGAAACTCCATAAAACCCATGACAATGTTTGTTTAAATGCAGCTACAGCAAGCACATTTACAACAAAAGGAGCCGGTGGAATAAGATATACAAATTTAAATATGAACAAAATCTTCGATAAACCATTTATTCCAAAGAACCAAAAAGACTCATTATTTATACCACCACAAATACATACTTACTCAGAAAGTTTAAACCAAGATAAAAAAGCCTACAACCACATAACCCGCTCATATATTGAAAACCTTTATAAAATCCAAAATTATTTAAACTCAACACCTAGATCTCCAACTACCAAAGACCCTAATACTGATTTTATAACACAAAAGCTACAAGGATATAATAAGTTAATAGCACAACCAGGCACCAATGCAAATCTAGTAAAAACATGTTATAGTTACGGATTACTTAATACAGTTTATACCCAAACAGGAGATGAAATATCTACCATACCAGAGCTATACAAAGCCTTTATGAACTATAAAAGAATTACTAAAGGAACATTGTTTTATATAAAGTTTTATTCAGCACCAGCAGAGATATTATTTGATGAGATAAAACCAATTATACAAGTTATAAAAATTGGTTTGACCAGAGATATGATAATTCCAGAAGATATCGGAATACAACAAGAAATACAAAAGATTGAGATACCAGAATTCTACGCCAACAAAAGAGTTATAGGAATAGCAACTATCCTAAATGAACTAACTAACAATTATTTAAATGGAAATTCAGTATGGAGCTATTATGTACGAGAGCAAGTTATGATATATTCAAATTCTAAAGAAATCAGAGAACAAGATATGGAAGAGATACGCCAATGGATACTCAGTCTACTCAAGCCAGAGCAAAAACCAACAACAAGAGCATTAAGGAAAGGGTTTATTTCGGAAGAATTATTGACCAGATATTGCAAAATTATTGGACAAAAATACCCCGACCATATATGTTCAAAATGTCAAGGAGAAGATAATGTCATATTTGGGTTTCACATAGTTGTATGAACCATTGATTTAAAAATTTTATTCTAGATCCTAAAGTATCTACCATTCCTTCATTATTCCAATCCTTTATTACGTTTGTACTAAATGGTTCTGGTTATTTTGTATTTTTTTATTCGATTTGAACGTCTGGTATGACATTATCTTCTCCTTGACATTTTGAATCCCTAGTGGAGCAATCCTTGTAAGAAAAAGTATTATGAGTTGGTAGGACTTAGTGATGGTACCTCTTCTAATACACATTGGGAATGAATTACTCTATGAGAATCAAGGCAAAGCACAGAGAGGTCATTCTTGTGGTAGTATCTCCACTTGAGTATGAGACTAGAGTAAAAAAATGCCTTTGATATTACTTAACCATGTGCCAACATGGGTTGTGTACTAGCTCTACCTTCGGCAAATAGAACACCTTCCACGGTGTGGGATCCTCATGACACAAAATTCCATAGCTATCTCGTATGTTCTATGTCGGTTAATGTTTATTCTCATCATATGTGATGTACACTCTAGTTAATGGATAGGTTCTACAACGTGGGGGCAGTAGATTGACACACTTTATACATACGACATGAGTAGGATTTGAAGATGCTAGAGTGAGTTCCCTAGGTCCTCCAAGACCATTATGTGAAGTCACTTATTGATTACTTGTATATTAAATGACTTTAATGAATAATGTTCTCTTAGTAAAGGATGTTTAAGTGAAAGGTTTTTATCTAGGGTAGCTTTGAGGATCACCTAGGTGTGCTTGAAGAGCGTGTATGGGCAGTCTTTTCATATCTTACTCAAGTAAGATTAAGAGTAATTTTAGGTAGAGGGTCTAAAGTGATGAAAAGGTTACTTGTTCAATATGGAATATGTCTTATATGCGATTGTTGACTTATATTATATCTATTAAACACTTATTATGAAGGTTTCTATCAGAATAACATGAAAGAATATCTTAAAGTAAATGTCCCTTTTTGCATGGTTTTCTTGCATGTTCAACATACTTAGTGCATTCAATGTGCTAATTCCGTGTGTTTCTCTATTTCTACAAGTGTAGATGGCAAGTTAGGATTCTCTTAGAAGTTGAAGCCTAGAAAGTAGCATTCTCTCAAGATTAGTATTTCCTTATATGTTCGAGGACATAGTTTATGTTTCTAGCTATTTCTTATGAAAGACTTTGTAATAAAATATAATTTCAAAATTGATGTAAGGGTTGTGACCCTGTGATATTGTTTCTAAGATGCATGAGACTTATTTCTTTCTTGTATTTCTATAAAAGAGTTTGACTATTGTGATGAAAAGTTTTAATTCTGCACTATATGTATATATATATATGCATATATATATATATATATATATATCTGTGTGTGTGTATATATATATATATATATATATATGTATGTATATATATATACATACATATATATATATATATACATATATATATACATATGTATATATACACACACACACACACACACATATATATATTTATGTATATATATATATGCGATGAAAGAGGTCTAAGGGATTGTATAAGACCTTTGAGAGGTAAAGTATGCCGTTTAGCGACTTGTGGGTGCTTCCGGGTCGTTGCATCAAACATGTATCACTATACTTGACAGTGCATTTCATTGAATTACACTTCTTCTTTATTGGTGAACTTGATCTTGTCTATTGCTGATCTTGTTAGTGTCTTTCTGTGGAACTTGTGACTGATGAATATTGAGTCTGTTTTTGAAGATATGAAATTATTAGAGTGTTATTGTTGAGGATATGAAATTCTTGGAGTGTTTTTGTTGAGCTATGTGCGTGATTTGTTAACTGTAAATTGTTATATTTTGTTTAGAGGTTTACTTGCTGAGTACCGTGTGGTTGGTTACTCACCCCTTGCTTCCTTAGTTTGTTATAGGTTACTAACCCGGACATTTGTGATATATTATCTTATTTTTTCGAGGCTTCTTGGAGATTCGTGAGGTAGTTGTTTGTAATTTCAGAAGACCTTCTTACTCATGTTTATGATTTTGTTCTACTATAGAAATAATGTCATATGCGACTTGTATTTGTCCTTTAATTCAGCTTAATACTTTAGAGGCTTGTACGCACGACAATCAAGTTTTATGGTATAAGTAATTATGAATTTCCGCGTTAATATAAGTATAAGACTCTTATTAATATTTTATTTTCCGCACTTTATCGGGATGGTTGAGTTTTAGGCTGATTCATCTTGGTGGGAAAAAATGAGTGCCATCATGTCCAATTTTAGGTTGTGACAATATTGTATTAGAGCCACACGTTCATAGGTCTCACATGTATACAATTAGAGTCTAAGTGGAGTCTTGAGGATTGGTACATAGACTTCTATACTTATCTTCGAGAGGCTATAGTGACTTTTAAGAAAAATATTCACTTCTTGAATCCCTATGGTGCATCTTTTGTCTATTTTAATTTTTATCTCTTCATTCCATTTTCTCTCAGTTATGTGATGACTCGTGCGTAGTTCCTCATATGAGTATTTGGTTTGTAGTTTGGCTTGAACGATAGACTTAGTACTAAGAGGAAGTAATATACTTACGTAAAGAATGTGTTGTTAGAATTAGAATGTTCAACAACTTAAAGGGATTGTGTATGAATAGCTAACCTAGTAAATTGAATAGTACTTGTGTGGTATATACGATATTGAGCGGTTTAGCAATTCCAAGTGGATTATCAAAGGGACGACTAGATAATGGATATGTAACTTTGAGAACTATAATTAGTAAAATTGTGATAACACGTATGGGTTATTTAGAAAATAATGAAAAATAATTTTGTGCTTGTTGATGTCAGAACCTCAACTATGAGTTCATATATTGAGTGTATATCAAAGAGGGTCATGATACAACTACTATAATGATATTAATCTTTAGTTGGTAAGATTTATGGAGTGTGTTACTCCTACTATTGATCCGATCTGCGAATGAATAACTTTGGATGAGAGACTGAATGAATTTAGTAGTATGTCGTAGTTACTTTATGCCTAGAAATGTGTGGGCTATTTGATTATAATTTTCTCGAGGTATATGTTGTATTCTAGTAGTGGATTTAACAAACTTTCATGATATGTTCTAGTGGTATATGAAGACGGATTTATTATTTTTTACGCGTGAATACTAACTACTTAAAGAGTTATAAGTGTATCAAAGGTTCATATAATGAGACACGACGTTGCATTCACATTTGACAAACCAACTAATTTGTTACTTTAGACGTCTAGGTCAAATATTGTATATAAGGAAGATTTTAGTGGTGGATAGTTGGTTAAATATTGATGTGTTTAGGTTGTGAAGTGTATCCCAGGGATTTTAAACGAGTGATGATTACATTGTAAGCTCCATGGAAGTGGATCAGTACCCAAATGACAATAGTATGGGTAAAGAAAGTTCCAAATAGTATTTATGTAAAGGTAATTTAATATGTTAGTAAAAAATTCATATAAAATTGGGTTAGTCCATTTATTTTTGTTGGTATATCTGGATTTAAGGTGTGATAGTGATGAAAACATTACTTTTTGGTGATGATAAGAGCTAACTAAGCATGACGGCACTAAGAGTTTGTGATGGATTGTGATAGAGATACAACTATATAACAAGGCTTGTAGTTAAGCAAATTTTGTATTGTAATGGCTACTTGCGAGTATTAAAGTGAGTAGATGGATTACATGGATCAATTGGAATAAAACTGAAAAGAGCTATATTCATAAATGGAAAGAGTTGTGTAATGTAGTTTAGCCTTTAGAAAGAGGTGATTGAGAACAAAGATAATTACTTTGAGTGCAAGGACAAAAGATGTATCTTTAGATAATAAAAAATTGAGTTAAGAGACATATTGTTTCACCTATTTTTCTCTAGATATGGTAATAGTGTCGACGTTTTATCATATAGGTTAGAAACTATTGGGTAAAATTTGAGAAATGACTGTATAAACATTTGACCTGAGTATGATGATAAGTTCTGTGATTTTGTGTTTGATAATAAATATGGTTGATTTTTTGCAAAATATATGATAAAGTCGAAGGAGAGACGATCAATAATAAGCTAAAATATGCGAATTCATAAGAATCTTCAAGGTATGAGCTAATATTGATACATAAGGGGTTGTGTTACATGGTTGGAATAAGAAAATCAAGTTTATCATGGTGATATATTATTGTTGATAGTATGCCTTGTCATGATGTGGACGGGTAAGGTAAGAAATGATTGATCGCACTAAATATTGGTCATTTTAAAGAACTTGTATATGTTTTGAGTCGTAATGTTTATTATTATGATTTTCAAGGGACTTAAGAAAATGTTTCATCTAAAAATTTTTTTTGAGGATAAGGTAAAAATATCAGGCATTGTTGGCAAGAAAAAAAGATTGGTGAGCGAGTCAACAAAAGGAACAAGAGTCTGGTGTATTGAAGGGCTCAAAATATATAGAATTTTGTGTCAGGGGGAGAATTTAAGAAAAATTAAAGAATAAGATCTCTCGTATAAGTCCTTGGCTTGTAGTTGAAGAATTTATTGATTTTTTCCTGCGAGGTTAGATATGACTGTAAGATGTGAACTAGTTCAATACAGACTGTATGATGTGTTATATCGACATTTGATTGTAAGTAGAGGTTATAAGCTTATAGTATATAGCGAATTATTTGAATGAACAACAATTTCTTAAGTGTTGGTATGAGGTATATGATGTTTTGGATATTAGTTGAAATTTGATATCTAAAAAATTACGCAGAGTTGACATTGAGTGTGATTCAAATGTTGTATCTCAATGTTATGTACTTTTAGATCTGGAATTAGTGTTATCAGTCTTGGGTGTGACATGTATTTGTCATGAAGTGTTTAAATGGAAAGAGAGAGAGTCATAGTTCAAAAATTTTGGAGGCCTAAATGTGTTTCCTAAGTTGATACGAGTGATAGTTTGAGAATAAGATAAATGATTGGCGTGGTTTTGATGATTTGTTAGTATTAGGAGTGTTGACTTTAATAGAGTATTGTGAAGGTCATGCGAGGTTCGACAAACCTAGTATATGTGCAATTATAATTATGACTAGATTGGTGATTGTAGGTGGTCAGAAATAAAAAAAATATGGTCATA